AATAACATGAAGATGAAAATAAATAGACTGTAAGATTTAAAAGGCAATAAACAAGTAAAAGCAACAAATTTATGCAAACGGCTGCTGATGTTTGGTTTTTCAAATGTGTGTGTAAAAAAAAGCAGCTTAAATTTCACCTGACTGTAAAGTTTAGAGAACAAAATTTATTTGAAAACGTTTACACTTTTAAAAGAATGTAAAAATGAAGCTTCAGCGTTTAAAAAGAACCAATACATTTTTGTTTTGTTTAGCATGAATTTAGTTGGAAAAAAAAATCCATCAAACCTGTGTCTCCAAACAAAAGATGAAAAACACTAAGAAACCCCAACCCTGTACTCCAAAAAAACCCTGTGGAACCATCAAACAGAACCTGTGGTACCATCAGAACCTTCTGTTGCTCACGGGTCAAGATGTTTTTTGATCCAACTTTTCATTTTCACACAGAGACTGTTTGTCTGAGGCTTACTTTTTAATTTGTTTCTGCCTGTCTGTGTAATGAAGAGTTCTGCTTTAAGCTCCACCTCTTCTTTCGCTCCTCAGAAAAAAACATGGCAACCAGTGACTCTCGGCAGATTCTGACCGGATTTGCTGTAATTTTGGTGATCTTTCTCCGCCCTTTTTTTTCCCAACATGGCCGCCGCGCAGAGGTTCTGCAGGATTGGAACCGTTTGGTTCTGATCGGAACTTTTAAGTTAGAAAGAACTAGACAAAAGTGGAATTCTGCATTTAAAGTCCAAAGAAACTTAAGGGGAAAACAGGAAGTAGTTTTAACATGGAGTTTGAAAATAAAACTACTCTTAAGAATTTGACTTTATAAAGTATATCCCCAAACAGGAAGTCCCAAACAGGAAGTCCCAAACAGGAAGTCCTAAATAGGAAGTCCTAAACCTCTAAAGTCCTAGATTTTAGAGAAGAACGCCGCTGGATGTTCTGAACTTCTGAACGCAACAAAAGAACCTTCATCAAACATGGCCGACCCTACCCCTCAGGTCATTTAAAGGTCATGATGGATGGGTCCACCAGCTGCAGCTCCGACACAGCCTGGTGTGAAATACGTCCATGTCTGCTGAACAGAACCCGCAACAGGAAGCAGAACCTCAGGTTGTTGGAGACAAACGGACCCTCGGCTGGTTAAATTCCACGCTGCGTGCATGGGGGTCCGAATCTTTTGTCCTGGCCCGTGAACCGGGTTAAAAAGTTCTGTCCAGAGGCAGCAGTGTGTGTCCTGGTCAGTGTGCACAGATAAAAGGGTCCACATGGTACCGGTCAGTCTGCTGCAGCGCACAGCGAGGAGGGACGGCCATCTGTCAATCAAACAGAGCGCAAATACACAATGAGAGGGAGGGAGACACACACACACGTTCATAGTTCTGTCCTCAGAAGGACATTGTCCAAACCCAATGATTCTTGTAGCCGACCCCTAAGTGACGGCCCACCGGGTCAGAACCGGGCTTTGGGCCCCATCAGGACCATTTTGGATGAAATCCTCCGCCTGCAAATACGTCCCAAAACGATTTTGCCACTTTTTAACGTTTCTGTTTTTTCTTCTGAGGATGAGGAACCTGAGTGATGAAGAGTTCGAGGCGTTCGTCCCAACCAAAACAGTGATCCAGGTCCAGACCACCACAGAACCGGGCTTTTGGACTTATTGGATTACTTTGTCTGCAGGCTCAGAGCCTGATCCTCCCACCACCATGCTTATCTGCAGGGTCAAGGTTCATGGAGTTTCCTGTCGGGGTCAAGTTGAGACTATTTTGGTCTCGTTGGACTGGACCCTTAAAGGTTCTTGAGGAGGAACCTTCGTTTGGTTTTAGTTTAGACGGATATAAGAGTTCCTGGGTTCTGCTGAACCCGACGGGGTTTTCAAGCAGTTGGGTTCTTCTGAGACAGTGTGGTTCTTTTGGGTTCTTGTGTTGGTTCGTTTCGACACCTGCTTTCTTCATTTGAGCCCAGACCTCCTCCTGCTGCCTCCTCACTTCCTGTTTGAGCCGTTCGGCTTTAAAAGCAGCGAATCGGCTACTCTGAGCTGCTGAAAGCTGAAAGAATAAATGATTTTAACTGAATAAACTTTGGACTCAGCGTAACCGTAATCATCTGCGGCACTCACCTCGGACGTTTGGAAGAGCTGTGCGGCTCAAAAAAGCAGCTCCGCCACAAACTGAAGCTTCTTGACGAAGCCTTTCAGAGTTTCGGCTCCTTTGGGAAGCTTTTGGCTCGTTTGATGAGGATATTAGAAAAATAAAAATTGGTGGAGGAGAAGTAAGAGAAGACTTCGAGGGTGTTTACAGATGTATTGTCCGAGGGCAGAGTGTGTGGTCGAGGTCTTCAAGTGCTCCTTCACTGCTGCTCCCACAGGCCTATGGAGCTCCTGAGTCCACATGATGTCACGGTGAAAGAACTCACAGAACCAGCAGGTCCACGACCCGGCTCCAGGGTCACCCGCTCACCTCAATCAGCACTTCAAACCTTCAGAAACGAAAAGATCAAATACAAAAAAAAAAAAAAAAAATGGAAAGTCAAAGAAAGAAAAGTATTTTCAGCAAACATTTAGGGTCTGAATGATTCTGAAGAAGCTGAACCGGAGTCTGTAAAACTAAAAGCAGCAGTTTGGTTTGGCTCGTGATTAAATGGGTTAGGAGAGCTGCTGGGACATCTGAGCCCAAAGAACCAGAAATAAAAGCAGCTAAAAAGAGAAATGTTGCTAAAACGTCTAACTAGAAGCAGCAGGTTATTATCTAGAAGCTAAACGTAGTAAAAGTTGCTGTAGTTTAAAGTAGCTGAACAGTAGCTAAAACCTAAAAGAAGCTGAAGAAGACGAACACGGAGCTGAAACAGGTTTTACAAGTTTCTTAAGGAAGAAATCTAAATGTGTTTCTACAGCTGGGCCTCAGGGAAGGGCTCGTCGGTGAGCGCCTGGTGACCCGGTCTCTGAACACGGAGAGGTTCTCCACAGGCTCAGCCCGAAAGAGCAACACGGGTTTGCCTCTGTGGGCCCATCGCCTGCAGGAGGAGCATGATGTCATGGGCAGTAGGTGAAGGCAGGGGCCTCTGCAGTCTGGTCCCGACTGACCAAAGCCCTCTTGGGTCATGGAACGTAACCTCTCTGGTGGGGAGGAGCCTGAGCTTGTACGTGAGGTTCAGCAGTCACCTGGATGCACAACATGGACTCCAGAACCAGTCTCCAGCCCCCATCAACGTGGTTCCAGAGCCCTGTTGCTGCACCGAGCTGGTGTGGGTCTGCTCAGCCCCACTTTAGTGCCTGTGTGTTGGAGTTTTCCCCGGTAGATGAGAGTGTAGCTTTCCTGCACCTTCAGGTGGTGGTGGGGAGCTGTTTGTGCATACGCACCGAACAGCTGTTCAGAGTATCCGGCCTCAGCGGAGAGCTCTCTGTCCATGTTCCTACCCTCACATGTGGTCCTGAACTCTGTGTAGAAACTGGAAGAACCAGATCCTGGATCTAGGTGGTCTAAATTAGTTCTATCTGCAGAACTGGACTCTCAGAGATAGAGAGAAAAGTTCAGTTCTCCAGGAGAGACTCAGAGCAGAAACGTTTCCTCCTCTGTTGGTTGGATGATCAGTCAGATGGATGGATAAAAGCAGTCACAGATCTACCTGCTGAATGAGATGGACAGTAGTGAAGTAGTGATTGATTGGACATCCAGACCCCCCCCCCCCCCCCAAGCTTTACCCTCCTCAAGGGTCGCTACAGCAAGTCATCGTCCTCACTTCAGCAATCTCCATGTCCTTGAACCACATCCATATATTTCTGTCTTTTTCCTGGCAGCTGCATTTAACATCCTTCAACCAATATACCCACTGTCCTCTGGACATGTCCAAACCACCGTCCTTCCTCTGGACATGTCCAAACCACTGTCCCTCCTCTGGACATGTCCAAACCACCGTCCCTCCTTTGGACATGTCCAAACCATCTCGGTGTGTCCTCTCTAACTTCATCTCCCAGTTGTTCAACTGTGCTGTACCTCTGATGATCTCATTCCTGATCTTATCCATCCTTGTAACACCCACCACCCCAAATTTACGCCTCAATTTATTTATGAAGTTTTTTTTTTTTAAATCATAAAAATGGAAACATGAGGAAATGCACATTTTGAGACATTAAGTTTATTTTATTTTACATGAGCTGAGGGCCGTTTTCTCTGGTACTGTCATGTTGTCAACGGAACCATCATTCAGCTCCGACCGTTTCAACCAGTTGGTGTGCACCATCTCGTGGCCACATGAAACTACAAGCTGCAGCCAACATTAAACCAGTGTTCATTGGGGGAAGGGGCACACTCCTCCGGTTCTGAGGACGTCATGTTTGATGCACCTGATGGACGGCAAGAACCGTCACAGCTCAGTGTTTGGAGGGGTTCTGCTTTAAAGGAATAGTTCTGATATTTTAGAATGGGCTTGGTGTACAAGGTAAAATATAGTAAGTATCTTACCTGCTCTATGTAGCTCTGAACTCTGATGAGCACCACACAGCGAGGTTATAATTTAAAGCTGGGTGTAGTTTGCGTGTTCTCTCCGTGCTGCGTGGGTTTCCTCTCACATATCAAATACATACGTTAGTTTGATTACTCTAAATTGTCCCTAGGTGCGAGTGAGAGAGTGAATGGTTGTTCGTCTC